AAAAATACTTGAGGAGGGAATTCCCTGGTGGTCTAGTGGTTAGGATTCCATGCTTCCATCTGGGGTCCTGGGTGCAGTCCCTACTCAGGGAATTAACATCCCGCAAGCCACGTGGTATGGTCAAAAAGAGAGAAAAATACTTGAAGACATAATGGCTGACCAAGTTTTCAAATGTGCTAAAACAATGCTCATAAGAGAAAAAACAATGCAGGATGGGAGGGGCGTTCTGAGCCAGGCAGACCACGCCAAGGACGCTGGGAAGTGAGAGCCTGCGTGGAGGGCGTCACAAGACAAACCGGACAGCGTGGCCTCAGGTGGGCAGCAGGGAGGCTGGACACTGCTCCAGGTCCCTGCAGACTCTGAGCCTCACTCAGCGGCTCGGACCTCATCTTGTAGGCCAAGCTATGACCACCTCCTCCTGAACGAGGACAACCAAGCTCCTGAACCTAAAGTCAGACTTCCCAGTTTCCCATGCAGGAGGACAGGAGAGAGGCCGGAGACCCAGCAATGACATCCGAGCCCTCAGCCTGCCCCCATGGGAATGACCCAGCTGAGATGTCCACCCTGGGAGCCCATTTGGAACACAGTGGAGGCAACAAAAACATCCCACCCGTCTGAGGAGGGTCTTCCTCCCCGAGACCCCGGGAATCAGGGAAACTCTCAAGCCCATAAAGGGCTTGGGGATCACAGACCCCTCACTTTACAGTGAAAAACAGGAAGGTCCAGAGCAGCGCCGTGGCTGGCCCAGGACCAGGGAGGGGTCCTCCGGGGCTGCTCCGATCCCCACTGCCCCTCCAGCACCACAGAAGGTACTGAGGCTGTGCCACTCTACACGGTCTCTGCACACCCAGCCCGGCTCCTCCAGGGCAAAGGCAGATGCCTGGCGCCCCTGGGCTCCTGCCCTGCCACAGGGTGGGTGCTCAGTACCTGCCCCCTCACGCGCACTGAACAAAAGGGTCCCTGAGCCTGACTCTGGGGGAGGGAGGGAGAGATGAGGCTCCCCAAGACCCAAGGCCAGAGCTGCCCCCAGCATGCCGAGGCCTGAGAGATCCAGAAACAGAAAGAGCAGAGATCTGGAGAGAGGGAGGTACGGACCCAGCCGCTGGGAGTTTACCAGGCAACCCCCTCAAGAAGCTGGGATGGGCCAGCATGGGGAGGGACACTCCTCAGGCCTCTAAATGCTGCTCCTTATCAGATTGGCCTCGAGTCAGCCCTGGGCTGCCTCTGACTCCTCCCCGATGAAAAAGAGGAAACTGCCTGAGACCTGCCCCCTCCCCGCTCCCCATTCCAGCACTCCCCAGGCTCCGGGCAGGGCGGCACCTCGTTAAGGGGTTAAGAATGAGCAAATTCCTGTGCTATTCCTGGAGCCTCGATTTCCACCATCCTTCCAATCTGGTCAATTCTGAGAGAGGCCAGCGGCAGGGAATGCCAGAGAGATCCGAGCCCGGCCCACCACACCCAAAATAACCCTGCACGTGCCTCTCCCAAGCCCTCCAGGATTTGGCCATTTTGGGTGCATGTTTTCCTACAACGCTGCCCCCAGGCCCCGCGGGGTCACCGCACACACGTGCTGGGAACTCTGAGGCGCTCCCGGGGGAGCCGAGGAAGGTGGGAGCAGGTGAGGGGAGGTGGTAAGAGAGACAGAGTCCGGGGTCGGGGTCTGGCCAGGCTGGCTCCAGCCTTCTCCGCTCCGCTAGCGGGGAGCTCCTGGGGGAGTCAGCCTCGGGCTCCTCCTCGGGAAACTTCCGGGCAGTGTCCTCCTCTTTCCCACAACTTCCTGTCCGCCTCCTCAGGAGAGGCCACCATCAGTCTCCCTCCCAGATGCGGACACGTTAATAAGAAGCTCCCGGGTTGAGAGTCCTTCACCCTCCCCAGATACAGCTCCCAGCCTCAAGACTGTGAAGATGTGTGAACTGCTCAGAGACCCCCGGACTGGAGCCCTCCAGGCTCCTCTGTCCACAAGATTCTCCAGGCAAGAATACTGGAGTGGCTTGCCATCTCCTTCTCCAGGGGATCGTCCCGACTCAGGGATCGAACCCAGGGTCTCCAGCGTTGCAGGCAGACGCTTTACTGTCTGAACCACCAGAGAAGCCCAGCATGAAGGTGGATGGTTTTAAATCAAGCGAATGCTCCAAGTGTCGGCGGAAATGGACTGGACGAGGGACATGTTTCTTCTCATATCTCGAATGCAGTATTCATTCACTCAAAAGAGATTTGCATGCCCACCAAGTGCTGAGTGACGAGAAAACAGGCAGAGCATCAGTGAAGGGGAAAGTCCAGGCCTCTGCCCTTCGGCAGAAATGAAGGGGCAGAGGTTGAGGTGAGTTGAGGGAAACGCCCCAGCCGGGCAGAGACCAGAGGCGGCACAAGTCTTCAGGCTGAGTCGTCTGGCTGCACAAACGCTGCTCAGAGTCCGGAGGTGGACGAGGGGATGCGGCGTCTCAGAAACACCAGCGTGGGTGGAGGCTGCACCACGGGGTTGAAGATGTGGCATCCCTGAACGGTTGAGTTCCTGACACAAGTCAGGAATATCAAAGACACTTGACTTAACCACTGTCCTAAGACAGATACTCTCTCTTAGGTGTTTGTTTAAAGCTGCACCATCCCTCCAGTGAATGCCGGTGAGGACTTTTTGGCAACGAAAATTTATTTTGAGGCAAGGAAAATTTAATTTTGCGCAAATTGGAAATGTAGCCATTTTTGGTGGGGGTCCAAAGAGAAAAGCCCCACAGTCTAAGGAATCGCAGTCTACCCCTCCCTGTGCCCCACAGTCAGGGTGGGGCTCACCCCCCCTCCCAGCCCAGCACCTTCCCTCACCCTGCCCCACAAACAGAGGGTCAGGTCCCCCCACCTCGATCACAGGCAGGCTCCATCAACGGAGCATCATTTGGATGAGCAGGGATGAGAGCAAATGATGATGTAGCATCAGTTTTATTCCGAAGTAGGTGCAACTACCACGCCTGAGGCTTCAGCCGGTCAGGCGGGCTTCTCCCCCAAGCCTATAGAGAGAGCTCTGGCCCCCTCTACAAGCAATCCCATCCCTTCTCACTCAGCCTTCAGAGCCCAGACCTGGTGCCATGGATGCTGCGGGGCCAAGCCTCCAGGGGAATGGAAGAGTTGGATGAAACAGAAGGCTTCTGGTAGCCCAGAACAGGTCAGAGACTCACCTAACCTCACATCGCCTGACATTCTCTGATCACACAGAACACCAGGGACGACTGGGACCCTCACAGACTCAAAGTTGGCCAGGTTCACCGATGACTCCTGACCCTGCTGACGTGTGAATCCATCCTCCCAGCCACAAAGAACCAGCACTCTGGGTGGAGGCAGGGGCAGAGAAGTTAGGGATCAGAGACGGGCCTCCTGGGTCTTCCCGGAGGGAGAGTTTACCTACCATCCGCCTGGAAGTGGCGGACTCTCGGCTGGCGCAGGCCGAGGACCTCCATTTAGTTTTTCCAGCTCCTCGGCCAAAAGGAGCGGCTGAGGTTCCTTGTCTCGCTTGTGAGGCCAGATTTCTCCAAGGTCTGCAGCGTCAGCTCTGCACGTTCTCAACTCTAAGCACTGGGACACATTAACCCCAAGAGCTGATCAGATATCATGAACCCGGCAATAGGAGCAGGACGCTGGCGGCCCGGCACCCAGGAAAGCATCAGGGCAGCTGCAGTGGCCTGCTCCCTCCTGCCCCCAGTCCCCACCGAGGCCTGTCCTGTCTCTGAGCCAGGTCCCTTCTCCCCCGGCACAGCCTAGGAGGGGGAGAGAAGGGCCACGAGGCCAAGCCATGCGGCGTGGACGGCTTCACAAACAGTGAACCGTTCAGCCACAAGACATTTCTTTTCCGAGAGATGCTGAGAGGGAGCAGGGAGAAAATAAAACAACAAGGGGTTTTCAAACGTGAAAGCCCTCTCGGCCTTTGTTCTCAGTTGATGAATGCACGAAGCACCAGGCAGATGACAGGAGAAAAGAACATGGTGTGCAGGAAAGTGCACTTCATCAAGGCCAGCCCGGGGGCTCCAGGGAGAGGGAAGTGTGATGAATGCGAGCCCTGGGAGGACTTCTCCTCCAGCAGCTCGACAGCAGCATCCTCGAACCTAGGAGTGGCATTCCTTAACAACCCCAGAGCTGGTTCTCCCCCACCCACCCCGTTTCCTCCTGCCTCCCTGCCATTTCAGACATTTCACACGAAAGAAGAGATACCCCGCAGGGCAGGTGATAAAACAGCTATACAAACAGAAACATCAGGGGAAGTCAGAATATGAAGTCCACTGTGAGTTTTCTGGGAAGCAGAGTCGGATCGAGCGGAAAGTCTCCTCGTTCTGCCTCTGAAGGCGGGAGGGGACGGGGAGAGAAAGTCTGGAGCAACAGGGGTGTCCCGTTTGCTGGGCGAATGAATGAATGAGTGGCCGGCAGAGGCCTGAGTCTGGAGTGACCAGCTGGCTTTCATCAGGACCCTTGTTTCACTCACTGACACACATTCTCCGGAGATGCCATGAGAATCAGCAGCTGGTACCGAGCAGCCAAGGGGGCAGCAGCTTCTGGAGGGCAGGCAGACTCCCGCCCTACTTCTCAGCCAGAGAGCAGTCTGTTACAAAGCCCTCACTCTAGCTCACTCTCGCCTCCTGCCAGATAAGCCCCTCACACACACACAAGCATGCTGAATGTACTAAACCAGCAGGAGGGTCATGCCTCCTGACTTGCCAGTCTCCCTGGGTGACCCACGTGGGCAGAGGGGGCTGAGAAGTCCAGGCAGAGCCTGGACTGTCCTCTAGGGGTCTGTGAGGTTGATCCCCCAGCATCCTAGTCTTTTCTCCTGGGCCCATACAGGGACTGCACACCCCCGCCCTCCCACTGCTCAACACACTTGCTCTTGATGTGACTCTGCCAGCACCCCCTCCCATCAAGAGGGGTGTCTCTGCCCAGCCCTGAGGTTCCAGTGGGTCTGGTGACTTGCCCTGACCAAGCGGAGGGTGCATATTATATCATGAAACCTCAGAACCTCCATCTCAAGAGGTCTTGAAGGTTCCGTTAAAAGGCCAGTTCCCTTGAGAATGAGAAATCACGTCAGGGAAGGGAGGTCGAGCCACGAGCCAGCACCAGCCCGACACGTGCCAGAGGAGCTCCTGGACCACGCAGGCCCTGCAGAGACCCCGGCTGACCACCATCGCATCCACAAGCTCAGGCGCCAAGCCCAGCTGAGCCACGCCTGGTGCTGTGTGGACCAATGCAGAAAGACAACTAAAGAAGTTTCCAGTTAGTATATTGTGCTTGTCGCTTAGTCGTGTCTGACTTTTTGGGACCCCATGGACTGTAGCCCACCAGACTCCTCTGTCCATGGAATTCTCCAGGCAAGAATTCTAGAGTGGGTTATCATTCCCTTCTCCAGCGGATCCTCCCAACCCAGGGATCAAACCTGGTCTCCCACATTGCAGGCAGATTCTTCACCATCTGAGCCATCAGGGAAGCCCTTCCCGTTAGCATAATGCGATGCTATTTATGGAAATGAAGATAGTAGGTAGACAGCTGGATGCTAGTCTATCATTAAAATACCTGGAAAGAACATAAGCCGAAGCATTAATAGTGATTGCCTCAGAAGGGTAGGATTATAGAAGATTTTCCTTTTCTACAACATCTGTATCATTTGAAGGTTATAAGGAGTTTGTGTTATTTTCTTTGCAACAATAACAAAAAGGTACTTTTAAAAAACTCACCTTGAATTCTGCAACATGCCTATTTTCCTAAAAATCCATTTTCATTCTGGCAATCCACTGTTTGGGGGCCAACACCAGCTGTCCACTGCTAGTCTGCCAAGATCAGTCTCCTCTGGGGGGCACTCCAGGTGCCCCTGAGTAAAGGCCTGCCCCCATGGCCAGCTTGTTCTTCCCACGTCCAGCCCAATCACCGGGCCACGCCTGTCTTGACCCAACCTCCCAGCTTGCCATCCTGGTCTCTTAACGCCAAGCCACATCTCCCCTGAGCTCCTCTGGAGGCCCTCAGAGAACAGCCCACCCAACCCTGCCCTCAATGAGACAGTGTCCAGCATTATTCTCCCTGCATTGCAGGGGACCGACTGCCCCTCTAGGAGACATCCATGGACCCAGGCCAGTTGGCCACCACCATTCCCAGCTTCTCAGTCTACAGCAGGGGCAGGCAGAGCCCAGAGCAGAATCCACCCCGCTTCCCCCTCTGCTGCCCCAGCCTGGATGGTGGGTGGCGACCCCGAACTGGTGCCCCAGCCCAGCGGCAAGCCAGCAGGAGGCCCTCTGTAACAGCTGCTAGTGTGGGGTGACTCACACCCCGGGGGTGCTCCGAGAGCCCCCCCACCCTCGGGTCCCACGTGCTACATCCAGAGCCCAACTCTGGCTTCAAACCTGATCACCTTCCTAGGGGACCCAAGGGCTCTTCCTGATTCAGGACTCTGCAGTCAGCATGTCCAGAGTTTAGACAAAGCTGTTTAGAATCTCCCAGGATGAGACGAGCAGAAAATGGCAAGCTCCGAGCTCCACCTCACTTTCCCTGAGACAAAACATGTCATTCTACATGTTCACACCCCCTACTCCGACCAGCACCTTGCTCCTCCGAGCCCTTCCAACATGGGGGTGGAACTTGCCAGGGCAGGACCCACACCCCCGGGGCTTGTTGGAGAGCACAGACCCACAGCCTCAGCCTCCACGCTGAGGCCAGCAGCCAGGTACTCTAAAGGGAGGGGGGCATTCACATCACAGGTATGTGCTGACCTGGTGAAAGGGCTCAGGTAGGCCTCCCAGCTAAGAGAACAATGCAGGAGAACATCCTCTTAGACAAACCCATGTGTGCAAACACACTGAGACAAGCACAAACACACTGACACACACATATACACACTCACACACACACACATATACACACACAGACATACACACATGTATACACATGTATACTCACAGACACACATATACACATAGACATACTCACACACTTGCACACACACATACTTGCACACACACACATACACACACATAAACACATATTCGCACACACATATACACACACATACTGACACACACACACACATACTCAGACACACACAAACACATACACATACACACAGACATATACACACACATACACACTCACCTACACACATAGACATACACACACACTCGTGCGCACACATATACTCACACATAAACACATATTCACACATACACATACACACACATACTCACTGACACATATACTCGCGCACACACATACACACACATATGGACACACATACACACACATACTCAGACATGCACACATACACATATACACAGGCATACTCACACACACACATACACACATAGACACACACACTCGTAAGCACACATACACTCACACATAAACACATATTCGCACATTCACATACACACACATATACTCATGCACACACATACACACATACTGACACACATACACATATACGCAGACATACACACACACTCACACACATATACTCACGTGCACACATACACACACATACACACACATACTCAGACACGCGCACACACATAGACATACACACACACTCACACACACACATACTCACACATAAACACATATTCGCACATGTACATACACACACATACTCACTGACACACACATATACTCGCACCCACACATACACACACATACTGACACACATACACACACATACTCAGACACGCACACATACTCACACACATACACAGACATACTCACACACACACTGACACACACGCAAAGCCACACCCGGTTCCACCCGTGCTCTGAGCATCCCCTGAGATCACGCCCCTCCCCTGTCCACTGCTCTCAGAGGCCCGTTCCCACCCTAGGCCCTCTCCCCAGCTCTGAACCCAACATCCTCTCCTCCCGGGGTTGCAGGGAGCACAAGCTATGCTGGGACAGATGCCCCAGCACAGGGCCACTACCCACCAGGGCTCCAGGAGGCTGGCCCAGGTGGAGTGGGACGTTGTTCAGGTTTACAACAATTTACTCACTCTAATTTATTTTCTTTTTCACCTGTTGTTTTCCAGTCGCTAAGTCATGACTGACTCTGCGACCCCACGGGCTGCAGCACACCAGCCTTCCCTGTCCTTCACTGTCTTCTGGAGTTTGCTCAAGCTCATGTCCATTGAATCAGTGCATTTTTTGGATCTGCACAAAGATGCTGTGAGGGTTAGCAGTGGCCCTGCGCTGCCAAGGCCAGGGCCAGAAACACATCAAGATCCTACATGGAGGGTTGAGGGACCCTCAGTCTTCCTGCAGTGACAGCCAAGCCTCCCCAACAAGTGGGGGGTTCCAGGGACCGGCTGAGCGGCCTAACTCTTCAGACCCCCTGGGCAGCTCTCCACCCCCATCCTTTCCTGTTTCCAGCACAAGGTCAGATATTTTTACAAATGCTGACACTGGGTGTAGAGATGATTACATGACTCTCAGAAAGCAAGCAAGTATTCAAAGTGCAATAAATTTCCAGGTCCTGGAAAGAGAGTGGGGAGGGGGTGGGAAAACTCAAACACAGATAGTATTAAGCCAGACACTCAAAACTCATCTCTAGGACTTCCCTAGTGACTAAGCAGTAAAGACTCCTCCTGCCAATGCAGGAGACACTGGTTCAATCCCTGGTCTGGGAAGATCCCACCTGACTTGGAGCAACTAAGTTCATGCATGTGTGCTAAGTTGCTTCAGTCGTGTCTGACTCTGCGATCCCATGGACTGGGGCCCACCAGGCTCCTCTGTCCAGGGATTCTCCAGGCAAGAATACTAGAGTGTGCTGGTATGCCCTCCTCCAGGGTATCTTCCCCACCCAGGGATGGAACCTGAGTCTCTCATGTCTCCTGCATTGGCAGGCAGGTTCTTTACCACTGGGAAGCCCAACTAAGTCCATGCACCACAATGACTGAGCCTGTGCTCTAGAAACCCGGGATCCGCAACTGCTGAAGCCCATGTGCCTAGAGCCCATGCTCTGAAACAAGAGAAACCACCACAATGAAAAGCCTATGCGTCGCAACTAGAGAGTAGCCCCCACTTTCCACAATTACAGAAAAGCCCTCACAAAGCAACGAAGACCCAGCACAGCCAATAAGTAAAAATTATTAAAAAAAAAAAATCCTCATCTACACATGGCTGCTGATCAGGGACCAAAGCACATGTGGTGATAGGTGAGCCCACAGACTCGCAGCTCCTGGCTGCCTCTTCCAGAGCCCCGCCAGAGCCGCTGAGTTTGGGCTGCGGATCTGATTTGAGAGGAGGGCAGGGGGAAGCAGGCCTCCACCAGGCAGAAGTTTTCATTCCACCAAACTGGGGCTCTAAGAAGATGCTAGTTGCTCAGTCGGGTCCAACTCTTTGCGACTCTGTAGACTGTAGCCCACCAGGTTCCTCTGTCTATGGGATTTTCCAGGCAAGAATGCTTTAGCGAGTTGCCATTTCTTCCTCCAGGGGATCTTCCCGACCCAGGGATCGAACCCACGTCTCTTGTGTCGCAGGTAGATTCTTTACCGTCTGAGCCACCTGGGAAGCCAGCGGCTCTAACTGACGCTCAGACTATGAATATGTTGGGCTGGGGCCCAGAGATGGGGCCTCTCACTCCTAAACTCATCAGGCTGGGGCAGGAAGCAGGTGAAATGAGAGTGGCCGTCAGCGCAGGACGGAAGTCAGGCCGCTAGTTAACCAGCCAGCCGGGCAGCCGTCTCTGTGGACATCCTCGGCCCCCAGCCCAGCTTCCATCAGGACTCAGAGCTCTGGTTCACTCATTAACCCCATCCTTCCGTCCTCTGTCCACCTCAAGGCCAGAGACAGAAGGCATCTGAGCGATGGAGGTGAGGAGACAGGCCTGCCCCAAGTCACCTAACCAGGCAGAGATAGACGACCATCCATACGGAGCTGGTCACCACTCCAGAGGCTCAACCACAGGACAAGACCTGGCCCAATCAAAGCCTGAGAAAGCTTCAGGAGGGGATAAACTTCCTGTCCAGAATGTCAGACCCCCCCACATTCTGCCTTCAGCACAGACCCACAGAAGGACAACCGTCTGCCTAGACGGCAAGTAATGCTCAGCTGTCCGGCTCCTCCCTCGAGGCTCCTCCCAGCATGCTGGGCCTCGCAGGGCCCCTCTGGGCAGGCCCCAAGGGATCTCTGCGACGGGGCAGGACAAGGCAGGACCCACGATGACCCTCACCCACTTGTCCACAAGTCCCTCCATCCCCGCCACCGGATTTTCAGCAGACCGGCTTCCCTCAGCCTGGCATCGTGCCGGCTGCCGGCCAGTCATTCTGTAGGCGGTGCCCCAAATCCCAGGGCGGCAGACTGAAAGCCCACACCACCCACCCCTAGGCCCCCAGGGAGGAGGGATGACTTAGAATGAGAGCCTACATCCTGGCTGCAGCAGGCTGCAGACTCAAGGAGGGACGGGAGCAGATTCCCTGGCCTGAGAGGAGGGGCCGAAGGTCAGCTGGGAAGGCAGGGGTGGCGGGCGTCTGGAGCCGCTGACCCCACCCCCAGCACTAAAGATGTGGTCTTAGGCAAGTCTCTGGCTGCGCTCCACTTCAATTGCTGCCGTTGCGAAACGGGAAATGATAGCTACCCCACAGGACCCTCGTTAAATTAAATGAGAGTAAAATTAAGATTCAATACCGAAGTCATATTAAATTAGGTGTGTCTGTGTGTGTGTTAGTCACTCAGTCGTGTCTGACTCTTTGCGACCCCATGGACTGCAGCCCGCCAGGCTCCTCTGTCCATGGGATTTTCCAGGCAAGAATACTGGAGTGGGTTGCCATTTCCTTCTCCAGGGGATCTTTCTGACCCTGGGATTGAACCTAGATCTTCTACATCAGATGCAGATTCTCCACCGTCTAAGCCACCAAGGAAACCTAAATTACCTGTGGACATACTGACACTGTGGCAGATGATGACGATGATAAATATGAACACTGGCACCCGAGTATCATGTGAAACGCACAACAGGCCAGTAAGAGGCCCAAGGCTGCTCCTGGAACTCCAAATAGCTGTGCCGGGACTCACAAAGAAGGGACTCTTGACAAGAAAATTTCCCAGCACCATCCTTATCACCACACTACCCCCTCCACCACGCAGCCAGGTTCTGAAAGGTAAGAGATTCACAAACCACCCAGCAGGAGGAAGCCACAGGATAAAACAACATCAGTTAAAACGTTAAAAAACCCAGGTCTGTAGGCAGCAGCGCTGGAAACTGAATCAGCACCATCCACACCGGAAGCCTGGGTAGGCTGCTGCCCACCTCCAGCTCCACAGGGGCCTCGAAACACAGGTGCTGCGAAGAAAGACGCTACCAGCAATATCCCCCCGGAGCCTGTAGGCGCAGAGATGAGGACTCCCGGCGAGCATCCTGGCAGAGGGTGTCCACCCAGAGGGCCGGAGGCTTTCCTGCAGGGCCCAGTATAGAAGAACAGACACAGGTGGGACTGGCCAGATTCCCAGGGATTCTTCTGGCCGGCTAGTAGGAGGTCCTCCACCCTGGCTCCCAAGCCCACTGCCAGGAGGAGACAGGAAGCAGGAAGTTACAGACCTCTCCTGCACCCCCCAGGCTTCCTCCCTACCATCAGGTGGTCAAGAAAGAAATTAAGAATACTGCCAGCCACCATTCAGAAACAGTGAGGAGGAAGGAATATCTCCCCTGGCCCCCAAAGCCCAATTTAAGGAGCTTATCAATTCAAAGTCAAGAGCTGGCGAGCAGAGAGACAGCTAGAAAATGTCAACATCCCAGTCCATCCTCCCTCGCCAACCCACAGTG